AAATACGGGATAATGTAGAAGAGCCGGAGGTTGGAGCATTCTGGGTAGCTTTCCAAGATGCATGTGTTGATGTCCTTTGGTCAAGAAGAACATAACGGAAACAGTACAGCAGATGTTTTTTATCCAAAGATGAACAAATGCAATGTGTCAAAGAGCCACTGGCAACATTTCACTGTTAGTTCTGCTAGTGCCATTACACTGATTTAGTTGTTGAACTGGACTGAAGCTCTGAGAACAGTGCTGTGTTTATTCATTCTCAAGGGGTCAGAACACACAAATGCTGTGACTGTGGGGTCATTCATATCAGTCTCCAACCAACGGCCCACGCCTGGCTATTTCCTGCTGCTGAGCAAACAAAACCACAACATTCCAGAGAAAGGTGCAGAAAACCAACAGATGAAAATTAGCATTTGAACAGAAACCATGCCTATCCATGTGCATTGTGTAGAACGAATATGATTGCATTGGTATCTTTACAGAAACTGTACACGTCTAGTTGTCATGTGTGTTTTCCTCAGATGATGTCACGCTGTATGTACTGTATATACACGGCCTGTAAAGCATTACCACACGTCACAGGAAAGCCAGCAGCACAGTCAGTCTCACACTAAATACAGACCGAGTAAAGCATGTTAATAACCGCTGCCCGCTGAGCAGTGAACGAGGCATTCATGTGTATCGCACAGTCCAGTGTTCATTCACTCAGTGCTCATTCTACATTTGTACTGTTTCTCTAACTTTGCTTCAACTACTGCTTTCTTCAGAAACATTTGTTTTAAATCTCTTACTAAGTATCTCTCGTCGTCTTTCATCCCAGGGGTCCGGACGATGTGATTCTCTTCCCCCCTCCAGTCGCCGAAGCGCCGGAAGAAATAGTTGGACAGGAATCGGTTGATGGGATCTCTGATGATATTAATGTGCACGGGCTCATCCGTTCTGAACCTGATTACAGTAGAGAGAGGACTCATGTTAGAATATGCCTTATTTTATCTGTGTATATTTATTACACAGCTGCCTGGAAAAGTCAGATATTTTTAAATATTCATCGTCATTCATGGCAAAAATGGAACAGCAGAGCTAGTTTGGTTTTCGATATTCCACACTTATGCAGAAATAAATACAGATAATTCTAAAATGGCTTTTCCCCCCATTATTTTAGCTGAATATAACCCATCTAACAGGAAATGTTCTCAAAACTTTGGCTAACGTTCTGGCAAGTTTCTCTCAAAGTTACGAACCAACATTTTTCAAGTAACGTTAATAGTTCAAAATCACACTTACCTGGTCTTTAATAATGTTCTTAAAATGTCAGCACAAAAAATATTTATACATCGTTCATGGAACATTTTTTTCTGAAACGCCTTAGCTGGAAAATTTTTAAATGTTACTACATTTTTCAGAATGTTCAGAAAACATTCAAAAGTAACATTCTCATAATGTCTGCAGAATAATCAAAATGTAATGTTCACATAACCAAGAAAAACATTAAAAAATTTTTTTTTTAAACTATGTTTTGAATGTTCAGAGAACATATAGAAAATGAAAATGCTGTCATAAAATAATGGGAAAATTGGCAAAATATTCTTAGAACATATTTTTGTTAGCTGGGAATGAGCATAAATCTGCTACATTGTAACACTACTTTCAGGTCTCTCGTGATACACTTACACGAGTTTGTACAAACGCTAATGTCCCGTTCTTAATTAGTTTATAGTGAAAATAACCTGAGAAGACTTTAGCATTGTTAATATTATTTTTAATAATAATTAATTAATTAGTTGTTCAGTTATTCATATAATTAATACATAATAATAATACAGGCAAAATTGCTAAATACACAGAATTACAAAAACAATATTCTATGTTTTTATTTATTTGATGAGTAGCCATGCATCAACTCACCTGCTAAAATTGAGAATTAATAATTAATACAGGCAAAATTGCTAAATAAATACACAGAATTACAAAAACAAAATTCTATGTTTTTATTTATCTGATGAGTAGCCATGCATCAACTCACCTGCTAAAATTGAGAAAATGCACATGTCGGGTATAAAGAAATGGCTGAGGAGTTGTGCTGATGTTTCTAATCAGATTTTCCTACACAGAAATGAAAGAAGAACAGTTCAAATGAATAGCTAGTGATGGTTCAGTGGTGGATGATGGCTGAAATATTGGCATACTGGAATTATAATGATGAATTGGCAGCTAATGTGACGCTCGTAAAACAAGACATTGTTTACATTGGCAATTCATTTTTGATTACCTGTTCACGTTTGGTGAGTCTGGTCTTGTTGTGAATATCAGAGGAGATGAGAGTGAACCGATGTCTGTCCACCAGCATGCGCAGCAACTGAACTATAGTGCGACTGCCACACTTACCCACCCTGTTATACACAACCTGACTTGGGAAAGGTAGAGCCTGCAACAGAGACAACTCTTGCAACATTCAAAGCGTTTCCACTAAAGAACAATCTTGGCATAAACGTATATGCATCTGTCGATTGTCGGACATTACGGTCACAAATGAGATTCAAGCACTCAAATCTTATAGTATGACATGCAATGCTCTTACTCTGGGTGCTAAAGATCCATGGCCATCAGCAAATCTCCCTAAAAAGTTTAAAACAAAATAAAAATAAATAGAAGTGTGCCTGCCATATACTTTACATATAATTGTGCATATTGAATTTCACAAGTAGACGTTGCTGTGTGATACACTCCTTATAGTTCTTGAGATGAAATGCCAAATGTTCCATCCATCTGTATAATATTTGTAGACTTGGGTACTGAAATGTAAGACTGATATCTTTTATATGAGTATTTTAAGAACTGATGCTTTGGAAATCCACAGGTTCTTCCACTCCTCCATCAGTCATTGTAGGACAATGAAAGGCCTCATATCATGAGTTTACATGGACTCGTGTGGAATTCACCGGTGGGTCTCATGCACTGCTCTAAAAGCCAAGAACAACACTGGTGTCTTATAGACCAATAGCAGAGAGAGCAAATTTGACAGTCTGCTCTTTATGAACCTTGACTGATGCCGCTGATCTGAGAACACAACTACAGTATCAGGCTTTGCTAACACTTCATAACCTGAATCATTAAGGTGAATTCAGTAAGTCAGACATGTCAGGAAACCTATAAGTTCATATTGCGGTGTAAGCAAAAGAAGATCCGTTTAGACCCTAATACTATAATACAATGCTTTTAAGACCCATTAAAGCTACTTAAAAAAGTTTTTTTCACTAACTTCATGAAAACATTTATAAATAAATAAAATGTGAGGTTTTGAGTCAAAAGTCCAATTATACAAATGCTTGTTTTCTCTAGTAGTGATTTTGTTTAAACACCTAGTAGTGGGAAAAAATACACTGATATACACAAAAAAATATTTACGAAATATATGAATGAAGGACAAGAAAAAATATATATAACATATATAATAATACATATATATATATATATATATATATATATATATATAAATAACTTTTTAAGTAACTTTAATAGGTCCTTTAAAAGTATTGTATAGGCAGACAGCAGATTCCATTGTGTCAACTTACCCCATGAATCCTGATAAACGCACACAGTATGTTTAAGGTCTTACCGAGATAATAACCCACATCCAGCAGGACTTTTGGTGCTCCTCCGTTTAACTGATAGAACACAGAGCCCAGGCAGAATATGAGGAGAGCGGTGAGACAGTAGAACAGATCCCGGCGAGATACTCGGAGCAGAACCACCGCGAGCCAGTTTCCCCTGCGGCTCCTGACGCGCATGTAGCCGCTCAAGTGTTTATGAGAGAGAGGCTTTCTGAAAGTCATCATATTCTCATGACGGGAATCCAGAGAGATGATACTAATCCATCTGATCTCTGTTAACACATCACCGGAGTCACACGGCTCTCAGAGGAGCGGATGCGTTCTGGTCAGACTCTCCGAACTCACCGCACTGTGCGGCGTTAAACCTGCAGGTGTGCACGATGTTTGGGGGCGTGGTGAGACCCTCAGTTTTTTAAAAAAAATATATAATTAAATGTTTGAACAATTAAAAACGTTTCAGTGGCCAAAACCGTAAAATGACCAATTAGACATCAGGTACTGTTCACTTTTCTCTAACGCGTTTACAAAAGTAATAGCCACCTAATCTTTAAAGGGGTCATATGATGCTGCTAAAAAGAACATTATTTTGTGTATTTGGTGTAATGAAATGTGTTTATGCGGTTTAAGGTTAAAAAAACACATTCTTTTCCACATACTGTACATTATTGTTTCTCCTAGCGGTCATTTGTAACTTGAATGTGCAAGGCTTCTGGTGTCTGTTTGTTGTCCTATTATTTTAATAATTTTTACAATTAAATTTTAATTAACTATCTTAATCAAACACTGGTTTGTAGCGCAACTACTTTGACCGTTTACTGTACTTTGTTTTCTTCTAGTTATTAGCGGCTTATGAATCGGAAGTCTCGCACATTCACAAAAAGAGCTTACTTCCTCTTTGCAAAATAAGATAGATATTGTAGCACTTAAACTATTTTACACAACTTTCATTTCCAGCGTTTGCACATTAGGCTATATGTGTTCATTCTTAGAAATATATGTACAGTCAAATGACTATAGGCCTACATGAAAATAAACGAATTAGAGCTTTTTGACTTTATTAGCTTTTAAAACACATTTGTCTCTGAAAATCCATTTACAACCTTTCACAGTTCATTCACACCAACTTGAATTAGTCCATAAAATAACAGAACCCTTCTTTATCACATAAAAGAATGATTATAGATTAAAATGGGTGATAAATGTTACAAGAAAATATTACAGCTGGAAATAAATATGTTTTGAAATCAGTTGAACATTGCTGAAAATATAAGAATGCGGCATACAGAAAACATGCTTTTTAGTCCAGACAGATTTTTTAATATATATATCAAAATAATAATAAAAAACTGCTTCTTTTGAAGAAATAAAATGATGATGATGATGATGATCTATTCAATATATCCAAAACATATTACAACAAATGTAGGTTTACACTCAGAGTCACTATTATATGTACATTTTCAAAGGCAACATTTATGGTTCGCATAAACTCCTAAAAAGTTTTAGTTGGAACTGTTGCATTTAGATCACTACAGATAGAAATCAAAAGTTGATTCAAAAGAAATCACTCATCAGTGACTTCAAAACACAGCCACATATGAAAGTCAAACTATTTCAGTTTCTACCGTGCTGTCTAAACCCGAAAAGGACAAAATAAGTCGGGGCAAATTCTAGCTGGAAAAACTTTCAGCTGAATCAAAAGCAAGTAAAACGCCACTAGGAGAGTCAATGAAGCAGTACTGCTGTTTGATCATTCCAGCCCTTCCTCCAAAGCTGCTCTCCCAGGTCTGAAATCCATTACGACGTGCTCAAGGAATCACACAGATCTCTGACAAACCTCTCAGTGGGATCTGTGAGATATGAAATCAAGTCAAAGTCAGACTCATTTGTCCAGAGTGTGTAAGTGTAAGTCATCAGCAGGCAGACTCACGGCTATACGATGCTGCTTTAGAAGCTGTTGGACTCTCGTCTGATCCATCACAATGGCAATGTCACCCAAAGGTTTGTCCAGATCTTCAGAATATCTCTGGACCAGAGAGAATGGCACTCCATAACGGCCATGCTGAAAAACAGAAATGAAGAATACGGACTAGATTTGAGGGATTAAACATGTTGTTTTATCATCACCAACAACAACATAAAGCGACCTATGACCTTGTGTTCATACCTGACTTCAGCTCAAGTTTCTCATTAAATGTGAGTACTACTTTTAATATAAAATCCCGTTTTAATATGCCATTTGAAGCAATGCATGTTTGTGCAATTTTGCTATATTTCAATGCTTAGTGGTGTGCCGTGGGATTTTTTTACTTATCAAAACTGTGCCGCGGCTAAAAAAAAGGCTGGGAAACACTGGTGTAGACAATAAGCATAACTTTTTATTTTAAGTGAAAAGATTGTACTATATTTTGTTTCACTAATATTTATACATCAATATGTTTTGAGGGGATGCCATGGTATTCACCATATAAAATAATACAAATCATAATCATAAATAGAAAAATACTATTTTGGTGGTGGTCATTTTTGTAGCCAATAAGCATAATTTTTTTAAGCATAATTTTGTATTTTGAGGGGATTTCATGGTGCTATTTTAATGCTTTATTTCAATAAAAAATAATATAAATTATAATCATAAATAATATAAATTATAATCATAAATAGAAAAAATATTTAATACTGTTTTCAATTAATACAGTGGTGGTCTTTTTTGTAGACAATAAGCATATTTTTTAATGAAGTGGTTGTACTATATTTAGTTTCAATAATATTTATTATTTAATATTTTGTATTTTGAGGGACTTTCATGGTACTAGACAATATTCACCATTTATTTCTATATAAATAATATTAATAATAGAAGAAAATTTGTACTATTTTTCATACTACACTATATATATATATATATATATATATCAGACATAATTACTTTTATTAGGCTTTGCATATATTTAGACAGACACAGACTACTTTATCATGGATGATTTGCAGATTCTATTCCCACCCAATTTTTTCCCATTAATTTCTTATGCCAGTAATTGTGACCGCGAAAATCACAAGTGTGACTATTTTTTTTTAATTTATTCTATTTCAGGCTCAGAAAGCTCTCGGATTTCACCAAAAATATCTTACTTTGTATTCCGAAGATGAACGAAGGCCTTACGAGATTGGAACAACATGAGGGTAATTAATGACAGCATTTTCATTTTTGGGTGAACTATCCCTTTAAAGGGGTGGTGCATTGCGATTTCACTTTTTTAATGTTAGTTAGTGTCTAATGTTGCTGTTTGAGCATAAACAATATCTGCAAAGTTACGAAGCTGAAAGTTCAATGCAAACGGAGATATCGTCTTTTAAAATTCTGGCAGTTTAATGCCTGCAAAAACGGCTGGTAGGGACTACAACGAGTTACTTCCGTATTAAAGCTTTAATCAGGATAAAACTGTATATTAAAAGCTAACATAAGCAGTAGCATTTACAAATAACAGCGTATCTAAAAGTATGAGACAACAACAAACAAAAAACATAGGCCTACCATTAAAAGCCGTGCTTGCACAGGTTCTGCACGATCCTCTTCAATAATATCCTCTGCGTCTCAATCGGGCTCAAACTGATAAGCGATATTAACGATGCCGTTGTTTACAATACAACCGGAGCACATGACGCTGAGGTGAGGGGCAGGATGTTTAGACGCGCACTAGAGGCGGTTTAGCCAATCACAACACACTGGGCTAGCTAACCAATCAGAGCCCATCGCCTATTTCTGAGGGAGGGGCTTCATAAAAGCAGGAAATGATCAGCGCGTTTCTCAGAGAAGGGACAGAGCGGTGTGGATTAAAGGTAAATAATGTGAAAAATAATGCGTTTTTTAAAAAACGAAGCATTAACACGTTAGACTGAACCCCATAAACACAATCAAGCCTAGAAAAAACCCAGTCAACCACCCCTTTAAGACCATTTAGCCTTTTGTAATCAATATCCACAACAGTTTGTGTGTTCAAGTGTCACAAAAGTCATCATGTTTTGTATCATTCTGATGAGGTAAAAATGAGAAAAAAAAAATCAAAACGTAACATTTTTCAGTCTAAATGCCCGAAGACCACCACAGCTTTAACCCGAAGACAATATCTTTAAAATATACCTTGAATTAAGTCAGAAAAAAAACACACCTTGTCAGAATATGGCTCTTCTGTGAGGTCGATGCCATCAGAACACAACTTTTCCTCTACTAAAGTCTCCAGGTTGGCCATTTTTCCAGAAAGAACTTTCTTTGCAGGTCTGTAAATGAGCGACTTGGAGATCCTGGGAATCTCCGGGCCAGAGTTTGACTTAGATGTGCTTGTAGAAACCTCCTTTCTCCTGAAGCCAGCATCAACGCTCTTCAATAATGGCAGTAGAAGAGGTTTTGGAGGAACTGGTGGTTTCATGTGCTGTGTGCATGGAGGAAGATCATCTACAGGCACCTCGTCATACTCCACCACTGAGACGCTGGAGGACAGCTGAGCTCCGTTTACAGTCTCTTCAGATGTGAGAAGATTCTCCTGACCTTGACTTGGATTCTCCTCAATACTGTTGGACACCATTTCTAAGCTATTCGGCTGCTTTCTCTCAGGACTTTGGTGCAGATGAAGTTCCTCTAGTGAGAAGTAAAGTTTCCTAAGCTCAGTTTGAGTAGACAGCTGATCCAGTGCACCGCAACTGCGACTCAGGAATCTTCCTCTGAACATGCAGTGGTTTCTTCTCAGATGAAGACTCTTGATGGAGTCGATCTGCAGTGGAAGTGGACCGTCCTGACTGGTTTGTGGGTTCAACCTGCTGGAATGGCAGAGGGGTGGGATGGGAAACTCAGGGGAGGAGAGATGGCTGGACTCGAAGCCTGATGAGGACCTGCTTAAATGAGACGTCTTTTTGCCATTGCCTACGAGAAGATTCATGTAAAGAAGATGTGATGAACATGACAACAACACGCAGGCAAAAATATGAGTTATACAAGTTTGGAACGAAACAACAGGATATATATATATATATAATACTGTTATTCTAAATTGTAATAATATTTCATAATAATACTGATTTTACTGTATTTTGATCAAATAAATGCAGCTTAAAAATAAATGCAAATAGTTGCTAACTAAATAGTTGTGCTGCTTAATCATTTTGTTAATTCTTTTTTTTTTTCAGGATTCTTTGATGAACAGAGCATCAAAAGAACAGCATTTATTTGAAATATAAATCTTTTGTAACATTACAAATGTCTTTACTGTCACTGTTAATTTCTTTCCAAAAAAATAAAAAAATCTGACTGACCCAAAACTTTTGAACAGTAGTGCGTTTACTTGAGAAAGATCATAGACTTGTGGAAAGTTCTGCATGCAAAGAGAAACTGGCATGTTATGCAAAGTGATGAAATATACGGTTTAAGAGCGAGCAGAACGTTCTGGATGGAAATGGACAGGAGCAGACAGGAATAAGCAGGCGGTTCAGGTGAGTAGATCATAAAGCGTTTTATTCCATAGCTTCTGTAATGACAGTGACTGACATCTCTCCTTCGGTCAGTGACACAGACAGAGCTCGAGTCCTGCGACCCATCAGAAGAGTTTCGTTCGGATCCATGCACACAGACTGTAGGTTTTTTAGCCACAGTTGCATGTACGACATTTGTGAATGTATCTCACAAAACCTGTCAAGAACATTTCCGGGTCATATATAATCCCAAAAACAGAGTTACATTTTGCTTAAAGAAACAAACACTATTTTTAGGACCGTTATGAACTTTTTACATTGTGAGATGTCAGGAATTAAACACAGTCCCCCATCAAACTGTTTAAAAAAAATCTCAAAATTACTCTTTTGTAACATTATAAATGTCTTTACTGTCACTGTTAATTTCTTTCCAAAAAAATAAAAAAATCTGACTGATCCAAAACTTTTGAACAGTAGTGCGTTTACTTGAGAAAGATCATAGACTTGTGGAAAGTTCTGCATGCAAAGAGAAACTGGCATGTTATGCAAAGTGATGAAATATACAGTTTAAGAGCGAGCAGAACGTTCTGGATGGAAATGGACAGGAGCAGACAGGAATAAGCAGGCGGTTCAGGTGAGTAGATCATAAAGCGTTTTATTCCATAGCTTCTGTAATGACAGTGACTGACATCTCTCCTTCGGTCAGTGACACAGACAGAGCTCGAGTCCTGCGACCCATCAGAAGAGTTTCGTTCGGATCCATGCACACAGACTGTAGGTTTTTTAGCCACAGTTGCATGTACGACATTTGTGAATGTATCTCACAAAACCTGTCAAGAACATTTCCGGGTCATATATAATCCCAAAAACAGAGTTACATTTTGCTTAAAGAAACAAACACTATTTTTAGGACCGTTATGAACTTTTTACATTGTGAGATGTTAGGAATTAAACCCAGTCCCCCATCAAACTGTTTAAAAAAAATCTCAAAATTACTGTAATGCAAAAAATAATTCTAGAATTAATTCATTTTAGTACAAGAAATAAATGAATAATATTACAGATCAATTAATATGAACAAAAATATTTTAAAATTAAATTCATCATAATGTTTTATATAATATAATATTATTAAAATCAATATTAAAACATTTCCGGGTCATATATAATCCCAAAATCATAAGCTATATTTTGCTTAAGGAACTGAAGACTATTTTTAGGACCATTATGCATTGTGAGATTGTCAGGATTAATTTCATATTAATTTTATTTTTATGTAAAATAGTATTATTAAAATTAGTATTAAGGTACTAACAAATGGTTTTTCTGCCTTTATAGCTAACTTTAAAAAAAGTATTATAGTAAGCACCATTTAAAATAACAGGAATTACACACTCAAAACTAAAACATCTGGATGCATTACTGTAATTAGAGTTTGCATTTACATGTACATTTAGAGGTAAATGTAAATTTGAGGGGAAAATGTGTTTAATACATACAACTTAAGAGGCTTTTTCTTTAAACAACATTTAATTTAGTATATATTTTTTTGAAATAGATTTTGGGTTGAAATGCGTCCTGGACATGTTTTCATTAGATTTGATCTATTAATTGAGACTGAATTTCGATGAATTTCTAAAGACAGTTTGATGTTATCGCAGCTCTGATTGTATCTTCTGACTCGACCAGTGGAGCAAAATGTACACTTTTGTTTTGTACTGTAAATATATCTACTTTAGTCTCATATGTTTGCATATCACAAATGATTTTTAGGCACATCTAAAGATATTGTGCAACAATATATAATTTTTACTAGAAAAATATACACACACAAACAGCAACGTCTCACCAGCACAAGCAAAAAAAAAAAAAAAATCTTCAACAAGGGCTCTTCACGTTCACATGAGCATGTTATGACTAGAATTATTCTGTTCGTCTAAACCAAAGCAAACGAACATTTATGTGATCAGAGTTTCAAGCTGTAACAGTGAATAATATTGATTCAGGACCAAACTTCGTCACTCTTTTGGTTCAACACAAATTCAGCAAGCGCAAAAAAAACTGTCACGCATCACGGTGGAAACGCGGTTCTCGAATGGAAATGGACTGAAGTGAAATCTCAACACAAAGTCACATGACGAGTAACTGATGCCGCGTTGTGGGAAATGTGGATGAGAGATGCTGTGGTCCCAGCGGAGGCACGTGTGGTCCTCACAGCAGAGAGAGGAATGAAAGCAGAAGACAGGAGGAAGAGGAGGGCTGGAGAGTCACAGACGAGGAAGGCTGTCATTACCGTTCTCCAGGTTCTCGTTGCTCTCGTAACAGCCCGAGTCCCGTGGAGAGTCTCCTGGCGGGACGCTGCTCTCGGACAGAAGCTTCTCTTGGGACTCACCGGATGATCCCTCGCGCTCCGGGTCACTGTTACCTTCAGATGAAACAACAACTTCAGCTTAGATTGAATTATTATTTCTGAATATGTGCTGAAGACACAATGACTGTAAGAGCAATTTACACCTTTTTCAGACTGCATTTAACATTAGAAATATTTTCTTTTCTTTGTATAACATTGAATGTTGCATCTGGCCTATAATGAATATTTGCAATGCTTATAGATCATTATAATTTATTTACATGATGTATGATGCTTTCAAGCAATTAAAATAATCATTAATGATGTACCAAAGCACATGCTTCATTTTGTATTTTTATGTTATAGATTTAATGTAGGAGGGACAATAAAACATCATATTTTTTAAATTTAATTTTCTTTTTTCACAGGGTTTAGAAGTATTTTAATGAATAGTAAACATGTAAATGGTAATATTATTATAGTAATTACATTCCTTACTGACTGACATTTTTAAGTGAATTTTGAGAAATCCACAAATTTTGCAATTCCAGGAATTTGATATGCATGTACTATTAAATAAAAATAGTTATCATTACAGATAAATGCTAATGGTATAAATACATATAATATACTGTACACTAGAGTTCAAAGGTTTGGGGTCAGTAAGATTTTTGAAAGTTTTTGGCATTTATTTGACAAAAAATACAGTAAAAACTGAAATATTGTGAAATATTATTGATTTAAAATAAGTGCTTTCTATTTAAATATTCTATTATAATTTAAAATGTAATTTATTGATGTGATCAAAGCTGAATTGTCAGCATCATTACGCCAGTCTTCAGTGTCACATGATCCTTCAGAAATCATTCTAATATCTTTTGTAACATTATAAATGTCTTTACTGTCACTTCTGATCAATTTAATGCATCCTTGCTGAATAAAAGTATTAATTTCTTTCCAAAAAATAAATAAATAAAAATCCTTAATTGAGCCTAAATTGTCAATGGTAGTATAAGATTTATATAAAGTCTTTTATAATCAATATAACTGCCACATCTTTTAGTGACTTTTTAGTGACCTATTCTTAAAAATGAGCAGTTTATCAGTAAGAACAATCTGTCAGGTGTGTGTGTGTGTCTCTCTCTCACTGTCACACTCCTGCAGCAGCTCGACGGCGGTGAGCAGCACGGCTCTGTGTTGAGCATCTCTGATGTTCAGCTCGTCCAGATCTTCCTCTTCCAACAGTTTAAACGTGTCCAGATCCTCATAACCATTAAACAGGAATGTAGGCATGTGCTCCTGCGGGACCATGAACCAGGGTTATCATCATTAACTGAAACTAAAACCAATTTTTGTTAATTGAAATAAAGCTGAAATGCAATAAAATATAAATACTAAGTTAAAAAATCTCTTTTAAGCATTTACTAACACATTTTTAAAATCAAAAGTTGTATTTGTTAATATTATTTATTGGGCCTCTGCTAACTATGAACACTTGTATTTTTATTGAATTACAATAACAATGATTAATAAATACTGTAACAAATGTATTGCTCATTGATATTTCATGTTAGTTAAATGCATTAACTTAAAATTATAAAGCGGCCTTATTTCAAAGAGTTACCAAAATTACTAACTGGGAATAAAATGAATAAAAACTGACACTGAAATAAAAACGTAAATTGTAATATTTAAAATAAACGAAAACTAATTAAAAATACATATATAAATAATAAAAATGACATAAAATTACTAAAAATTTAACTAAAATTAATATCAAAACAAAGTATAAAAATAAAAGCTAATTCAAACCATTAATAAAAACTATAATAGCATATATATATAATATTAAAATAACACTGTGGTGAACATGGTAATACTAAAATAGTGCATTAAAAACTGTCAGATAATTATGCAATTAATTGAACGGAGCGTTATTGAGATTACTTTGAGATTGATGCGCTCCAGAAGCTCCTCCACAGAGGTCGGTTTAGGAGGGCGACCTTTCCTCCTCTTCTTCACGCTGCGTTTGGGTTTCTCCTCTTCTTCATTCAGCACTTCCACGTAAATGAACTTAAACGTTCCCACTTTGTTACTGAGGAGCCCCATCCACGTGCCCATGGGCGGCTTACTGATGATGTCGATCAGATCTCCTCTCTGGAAGAGCAAACACACGCTACAGACGCAGTGCAACTGAAGCCGATGGTCAGTTTATTTCTGAGAGGCCAGGCGTCTGACCTTGAGTTTGAGGGAGTCGGTGTCATACGGGCTCGGGGTGAAGTCTGTGTGAACCAGAGCTCGGCCACAGAAAGGCCCTCTGTACGGCAGCTCGTCTTCATCACCGTCCTCTGATTTCACACTCTCACGGTTACTGGTGGACGAGTCTGTGGTGCTGACCGTCTGACCGCCTGCCAAAACAACTCTGTCGCTTTAAAAACTACCATAAATAACCTGCTATTCTTTGAAGTACCATGTAAATACCATGGTATATGAATATGGTAATCATTTAGTACCACCATAGTTCTTTTTTTTTTTTTTTTACCATATCTATATTTATTATATAGCTTTCTAGTCAAATTCACAGTCAAACATTTCTGAATAATGACACTGACCTATTAAACTGTAAAACTGAGCAGTGTCCAAGACAACACTTTTTTTTTTTCTCACAAATTAAATAATTTCAAATCAAAAATCGATATTTTATGTCCGTTTATTTGATAAGCAGCTGTGTAATTAGCAAAATAATATACAGCCAGCAAGTAAGTATCACAAATTCAAATGATCATAACATAATCCTAAAAGGTTTATGTTGCAATAATGACCAGGAGGCTATATATTTATCTATTCTATTCTATTCTATTCTATTCATATTACGTTTTAGTCATTGTTATGTGCTTTCTTCATTTTTATTAGTTTTTTATTTCTATTTAGCTTTAATTTACGTTTTTTTTATTTCAGTTTTAGTAATTTTAGTACTTCGACATTTTATTTAGTTGCCAATGCAACATTGCGTATCTTCATTTCATGAAAATTAGAAAATTGATTTGTAATATTACACTTTATATATATATTTATGTATTATACATATCTATAATTCATATTTTTTTTGTCTTTTTTATTACATTTTTCTATTTAGCTTTAATTTATTTTGATTTCAGTTCTAGTAATTTCAGTACTTCAACTTCAATTTATTTTATTTCAGTTCGTTGTCCATTTTTTGTTTCGTTACTATTTTTAACATTTTTCAGTCAACAATAGTCAACACTGCATTATAAATATCTAATATTCATATTTAATCTCCACAACCCCTTGGACACCTTTCATCTTTTTTCATTTGTTTTTTTCACATAATATGTATGGTGATGGTTTTATATTTGGCTTTTATATTATATATGCACATTTTTTTATATGACTTTTGTAAGGTTTTATATTATAAAGGCTATGTTTGTTTATTTGATTATATTTTGTTTGACATTTTCACAGATGTGCCTTTCACAAGTATGGTGAAGCAGATCAACTCACTCATGGAGCTCTGTCCGCTGAGGGAACTCCTCAAACTCTCCACTGATCCTCCGGCCTTGAGTTTGGGTTTCTCCAGAGAGTCTGTGTCCCTGCGAGGAGACAGTGGGCTGCTGGGAGCTCGGCTCGGGCTTGACTGAGAGTCACAGAGAACAATCACATACTGAAATCAATACAACTGCCAACAGAGGGCTCCAGATACTTACAAATGAAGCTGTATTGTAAGCTGGTACATTCTACAGGTATTGACTACTAATCAATGACTAATACGTCATTTGGTTCAATGATAAGTGATGTTTACCAAGTCAAGCATCACTATTACTTTTGCTCATAGATCCAAACAACCTAAAAAACACATTTAAGCAAGCAACCCTGATGATTTTTGCTTTGTAGATATAAAATGGCAAACTCTTTTGACTCACAATTAGTAATTCACAAAAATCCCTGTCTTTGCAAGTCCAAACTGTATTCTGTTTGGACAAAAAGGACAGATTTGCTATACTGGAATTGCTAAAATCAAGTCTTTCCAGTGTCTTGCATTATGAATTAATCTTTATCAAACAATCACCTGCTCCGATGGAGAGGAACTATATTTCTTGGATATGCGTTTCCTCATGGTCTCTTTAACAGATTTCACCTTCTTCCCCAGAGAGATACGGGAAGGTGTTGGAGATCTGGACGTGTGTCTCATGCTATCACTGTTTTCATTCTGGAGGACAGACGTGACATTATGCACAACCTTCATCTTCTCAGATGATAAGGATGACATGGAAGAAGTCTGTCGTGAACAGATCTTAATGCATTTGGAACAGATTTTATGAATTAATTTGCTCGTTTACAACGTGTCCTTACTGTGGGGTCACCGCTGCTGTTGCTCATGTACACAGATCGGCTTGTGAGATCAAATCCTCCAAAGCTGCAGGTCCTCTGTGACACAAAGTACAGTTAGTAAAGCACAATCATTACATTGAAATCTTGACATACAAGTTACATTTTCAGTGAATAATGACTTCAATTATGTCCATTGCTCACACAAAGCTATCGTATGACGGTAGACAACACTTTTATAAGTAAAATAAAAGAAAATCTGGTTATAGCTTACTACAGATAAACACATACACAAAAATAAAATAAAATAAAAATAAAATATATATAAAAAAATATATATCAAATACAAAATAAAAAAATAAAATCATAAAATACATATACAAAGAATATAAATGAAACAAAATGAATAAAAATAAAACTAAATAATAAAACAAATAAATATAAAAACAAAACAATATAAAAAAATAAATGATCAAATAAAATAAAACATGGTGGAGGCACTCACTCCATGGTAGTTAGAGGGGCTCAGGGCTCGTCTCATCTCCCCATCTGTCACAGAGCGGGACAACCTGTGCTCGACCTCACCATCTGCCTCAGAGAAGGAGGACCCGCTGCCTGCGTCCAGCCTAGAAACCGCTCTGCCGGGTCCCGACGTGGGCTCCAGACCCTGACTGCTGCTGGACTTACTGAAGGCCTCGAAGAGCTTGTGGCTGCTGTAGGTGTCTAAGCTGCTGGAGGAGGGAGACGTGGTCAGACTGTCCGAGTCTCTGTCCAGAGACAGCTGTTTATGAAGCACGGAGCTCAGACCATCACCCTGGGACACGGCGAGACATCTGTGCACCCCAGAGTACAGAGAGACGCCCTCCTCGCCCGACGGAAGCACAGGGTCTGGATGGGGAAACATGACAACAGAGCAGGTTTAAAGTCAACATAAAAACTACACAGACCCTATTTACTTTCTTAATACATATCCCTGGTCTCAATGCATGCTAGTCCTAATAAATCAATGTTTGGCTTCATAATCATTCACCAAACTGTAATAACCTTGAGACTGTGGCTAGCTGCTTAACTGTTTTGTGAATTCACCCAAGAGTGATTTTGCTATTATGATAAAAACAGTTTCTGCATTCATCTGCATTGCTATTTCAGGTGTGATTTATGACATGAATATGTTCTGAAATGCATTCATCTCTCACCTTTTGAGCCATGTTTTTTGGCCTCATCAATTCGAATAAGTTTCTTTCTCATGCGTCGAGTTGAATTGACAAGTTTATGAAGTCGACGAAAGGTGACTGACTCTTCCAGCTCATCTTCCGACTGTTCTCTCGACTGTATGGGATAAGGCACAGAAAACTGGTTCGGGTATAGTTTACTACTGAACACACAAAATAAAATATATATAAAATATAAAATAAAATAAAAAAACAAAATAAAATAAAATAAAATAGACAAATATAAAATATAAAACCATAAAATAAGCACAAAAAAGTAAAATAAAATAACAAAACAAAATAAAAAAAAGAATTGAAAGTAACAAAATAAAATATAATAAAAACTGGTTAGGGCATAGCTTACTACTGATAAACACAAAAATAAAAAATAAAATAAAAATAAAAACAATATAAAATAAAATCATAAAATAAAAACAAAACAAATAATATTATATAAAATAAATAATAATAATAATAAAAAATATATAAGATGAATTTAAATAACAAGAAAAAAAAAGAAAAGAAAAGAAAAAAAGGAAAGAAAAGAAATGAGGTTTACCATATTCAAGGTAAAAGGTCCATGCAGAGGCTTTACATGTAATGGAAAGTATTTTGACTCATTGACCACATGCATTCAGTTGTCTTCAGCATATGGTAAACCAAAAAGCCCACGTATGCAAACTATAAAAATAGATGACGTGCACTCAATAGAGAAGTTGCAAATATTTCAGACTCTCAAACTCATGAACTTCAACATGCAACTGGTCCTGCAGTGTTTGTGCTCCAGACATGACTGATTCCTCAAATCATGTGAAATGTCAAATACAGTCAGTGTGAGACTATTAGAGTCGGAGCGTTTGCTAATATCTGCTATAAACGGCTCTTGAGAGTTGTGCTGCTACTTTACTAAATGATCAGACACACCGTTTTCACCTACCACCTAGACCATAAAACAGGTGAAGAAATCCCACAGACGCACACTGAGTCACATCTAGAGACCAGAATATCAGAGACATGAGGGTGCAGGACGCATCTCTAGCTTATTTTCAGCAGGTAGAGCAGCCTGTATTTCTCAGAATCATCTGTTTTAGCGGCAGACAGCTGTGGGCTCAGAAACCACACGCAGGAGAGACAGACACATCTCAACTATAATTACCCCAATACCCCATCATTTACGGTTCATACTTATAATATAGAATAGCACGTGTCTGACAGCAGGTGCTAAACATGTGTGGTTCTCGCCACACTTCAGACCCATAAAACATCACAGGACCTGAAATAAACCCGGTGAAATGTCAAATACAGTCAGTGTGAGACTATTAGAGTCTGCTATAAACAGCTCTTGTGTGCGAGTCTTAGAACTAAACTCTTTCAGCAGAGAAAGTCAAACTATTGTCATTAAAAATCTTTCCAACCCCAAACTTTTGAACAGTAGTTCAAAGAATACCATAGTATTAACAAGGTGCATGTCGAAAAAAAGCATGGTATTAACATGCACATGTACAAAACCATGATATTACCACTTAACCAACAAAATATAGTAATATCATAGCACTAGTTAATAAGTGAAATTATATGCTCAAATTCAGTTTAAATATCAGCAAACAAGTTTGTGACCTAAAGCTGGGTGAAGAGGAACATTACAATATATTTCACAGAATACACATACTGGCTAGATTTATTAAGAAAATAATATTTCAGGTCAGAGCCGTGGCATTTGCACACATGCTCTAGGGAAGTTGAATCCATCTCATCTCGCTCTTTCAATGTGCATCTATGGGACTTTTTCATTAAAAGCTGAAAAATTAAACATTTATTAAACGCTGCAGGACTACGCAGATGCTGAACAGATACTGAGTCTCAGAGGTTTGTTCATATCACTAACCTTAAAAGCAATCATAAAACTGATGCTCATCTTTGCTAACACAACAACTAAAGTGCAAAAGTGATTTTTTTTCCCGCATGCAACAAATGGTAAACAGTGGCTCTGTCCAGTGGAATTGGTGGAATGGATCCTGCATCCGAGCGCTTTAATCACACAATCCCTGCACAAAAGAGCTGTGGGCCGCTGAAGAGAGCGCAGCCCTGCATTCAACTGGCCAAAAATGCACAATGTGGGGTTACAGCATTGATGGGATGAATAGGACCCCGACTGGAGGCCCAGAGGGGCCGCGGATCACATCTGGGACATGATGGGGGATGGAGAGGCGACAAATCCCATGGGTAGTGGGTGAAAACCCTGCTGAGAGTGTCTGTAGACAGAAGATCCGCCAATAAACAAGTTCATCACAACAAACTCTGCTAATGGATGTTCACGCCTTCCATTTCCACGTGGGTGGCTTTGGGGGAGACCTAGATTTTCGCGAGAAGTTGACATTAGCAAACACAGAAAGTAACTGGGAAACTTACATTACAGTAGGAGGACTCGGTCATGGACGGACTGGGTGTGTCGGTCCAATCGGTCGTGTCCACGCTGTTGGACTGCTTGTTCTGCATTTCATACTCCTTCAGCTGAGGGACCGAAAAAAGCACGTTAGCGAATGTTTGAGGGAGTAAAATCAAGTCCCATCCTCAGTGGTGGAGTGTAACAAAGTATTTCAGGAAAGTGTTTTAGGAAATTTTTACTTCTCATTCACTACATTCCAAATAAAGCAATAAGCCCCAAGAAGCCGTGGTTTACAGTTAATTTATAACAGCTAAGGGGCGTTGTTAGGCACGACGCGAAGCTGAGTATAAAATGGATTTTATAAAACGGTTATTCCATATACGTAGTAAGGTTTCACAAAATAAAACAGAGCAAATAAAATGTAATGATATTAATAAAAACATTATTCTTCAGCCAAACAATGTAGTTCCTCAGAAATGGTTGTGGTTCCAACAAAGTGGTTGCCGAGCAACACACAAATGTAAACAAAGGTGTATGTTTGTAGAGTAATTTACAACAGCTTCGAACTTGGCTCAACCAATCAGAATCAAAGACCGGAACTATCCGTTATATAATGCATAATATCATACTTTTTACTTTGTGAACAAGGCGATTCTTTCCAATGAACCTGTTGAATTGATTCATGAATCACACTGAACGATTCACGGCTGTTTTTGTGTAAACTCACTGATTCAATTATCCGGTCAAAATGAGCCAAGAACCAGGATGTCGTATTTTAGGAAACTTTTACTTCTACTTCACTACATTTCAAAGAAAAATATCATAGTTTTTACTAGAGCCCGACCGATATGGGTTTTTTGGGGCCAATACCGATATTAGGGAGTAAAAAAAGGCCGATATAGATATATTGGCCGATATTCTTTGTGACAAACTAAGTAATTACACCATTTCAAGCATTTTATCTGTGTTATATGTTCTGTAAAAAAATTTTCATGTCGGCGGCATATCGGCGTCATATTTTCCGATACCGATATATCGGCAACAGGCTCATGTCGGCCGATAATATCGGCAAAACGATATATTGTCGGGCTCTAGTTTTTACTCCATTACATCTCATAAAAACATGTAATTCCTCGTTGTTTCGAACTGAGGAGATCACCACCCACTCTGAGCCACGATAGCGATGTCTGATTTGTGAATGAGCTGATTCTTTCCAATGAACCTGTTGAATCAGTTCACAAATCGCACTGAATCAACAACACACTGATTCAATGATCTGGTCAAAACAGCCAGGAACCAGGATATTGTCAGAGACTTAATGCACATGTGACTGATGCTGCGAAAACTAAGTTAGAAATGCTGAATTTTAGTATTGCCTGTTGTAAATGAAAATCATATTTAGGTCACTGTCAGTTAGTTGTAAAGTAAACCTGCTGTAAAAGCCTGAGCTGTTTAAACCCATTGAAATGCTTAAATGTTGACATTCTAGGTCAGGGATTTTAGGTAAAATAATGGAGATGAATGCCCGTGAATCTTCTCCGCTGCTGTAGTGGTTTCAAATGATATAAAACTATTATATCTGCATTGAGTTCCTCTTAAAATCTTAACGCATTTTGCCTCATTTGACGTCTGCACATTGTATATTATTTGAACCACATTTTAAAACAGATTTTGTTTTCCCTAATTTTTAAATAATATATGGTATTTTTTTCACTTGTTAACAGACTTGAATTATCAGTACTTCAATCTGATATTTTAGTATACTGAAGTTTAATGTTTTGATAGTGTATAATATGTTTGGGCAATAAAATATAAAGTTTGATTATTTACAAATCAATACATATTAAATGTCTGCACTAATCTTTCTTATTAGTGCTGAGTCTAATGACTAGTTTGACTAGTGCTGTCTAGAATAAATAATTTCAGTTCATCGATCAGTAGTTTTTACTTTTAATACTTGAGTACTTTTGTACTTTTACTCAAGTAAAATTGAAACGGAGTACTTATTACTCATTATTTATTTTCAGTGGAGTAATATTTTATTAGGTTATCTGTACTTTTACTCAACTACTTGATTTGTGTACTTCATCCACCACTGCCCATCCTACACTGTTTTTGTTGAGCATCTCGTTTTCTCAGAAATACATCACATTAGGAAAGTAAAATGGGTTGTGAACTGTTTCAGACCCGAGCCAAGGCTTCCTCCACTGTGATCATCTTCTCCTTCACCATCATCATCAGCTGGATGCGTTCTTCATCACTCATTGTGATCTCACTGGCCACGAAGCCCAGATCCTCTCCTGTGAACCAGAGGTCAAAGGTCATGCATATAATTTAAAGCAATATTTCATTAAAGATTGAATGGAATTGCAATTAGAAGTGGGTGAAGAACCTTTCGGTGGCACTCGAACGCTCCCTTTCTGTGCCTTGCGGAAGTTTTGCCAGAACGATTTGTTTTTCTTTCTGTCCCATTTCCCTGCTGTTAGAAACAGTTTGAAACTCAATGAATGTCTGAAGAAGTATTTCTTAAGATATATAGAGTCAAAAGTTTGGACACATTTTTTAAATCACGGGAATAAATTACATTTTAAGATATATTCAAATAGAAAACTGTTATTTTAAATTGTAATACTATTTAATTTTTTTTTACTGATTTTACTGTATTTTTGATCAAATAATGCACACTTGGTGAACAAAAACAAACAAGCAACAAAAAACCACCTCAAACTTTTGAACAGTAATGTACGGAGCCTCGCACATGGCACGCAGGAAAAAAATAGTAGGCTAAATCGTGTGCATGATTTACTAATTCGTTCCCTCGATTTGCTAAATCGTGCACACGATTTATAAATCGAGAGAACGAATTAGTAAATTGTGCACACGATTTAGCAAATTGAGGGAACGAATTAGCAAATTGAGGGACCGAAATAGTAATCGTGTGCATGTTTTAGTACATCGAGGGAACGAAATAGTAATCGTGTGCATGTTTTAGTACATCGAGGGAACGAATTAGTAAATCATGCGCACAATTTAGCAAATCGAGGGAACGAAATAGTAATCGTGTGCATGTTTTAGTACATCGAGGGAACGAATCGAGGGAACGAATTAGTAAATCGTGCACACAATTTATAAATTTTTTCTTGCATGTCATGTGCGGGGCTCCGTAATAATGTAATTGAAAAACAATTATTTGAACCAGATAGTGAAAGAAAAACAGTGTTAAAGCTGTCTGAGATATGGAAAACAGTCATAATAAATAATAAGTAGGGATGCACCGATACCACTTTTTCCAGTACTCACCCGATTATCGGCGTTTGGTATCGGGGCATTTTAACGAGTACGAGTACGAGTACAGGAGCTCAGTATCGGGCCCGATACCGATACCAGTATCGGTATCGGTGCATCCCTAATAATAAGTGTAGGTGTGTCCAAAATCTTCACTGACAGTGAATTTCACAGGGTTCCCACACTTTTTGACCAATGAATTACACTACCATAACTTGATAAGATTGTCTAAATAATTTTATAGGGTATTAACAAAAGAACACTGTTTAACCAATAACACATTGATTATTAAATGTTGATTAGAAAAATGTACATTCACTCTTGACTTTTCCAGGCCTTGAAATCCCATTTTTAAAATTCCCTGATACTTCCACTGACTGTGTGAACCCTGATTTGAGTAGTTTTTATACAACAATAAAACAAACAGACACACAATACGGTACTAACCAGATCCGTCTTCAGAGCTGGATTTGTTCATTGATTGCCTGCAAGCAAAAGTACAAACATGAACGAACTTCAGCAAAAGCGTCTCCATCAAAACCATCACACCGTGCCTCATCTCACCTGCTCTCCCACATTACTTTCTTCATTTTCAGCACCTATCCATTGATTTCTAGTTATGTGTCTCTGTCCTAACTGGTGTCCATGCTGCCTGCGGGGCAGTGGATTAGATTCAGCTGTCTGTCAGAGCACATAAAGACACATGCTGCTGTCGGCCGCCACACCACACCTCACTGCAACAATGGAGGCATTTTCACGCACCGGAGGGGTTTTACAGCAACAGAGCAATCACATGGCTCATGAATTCCTCTCCCTCTCTCTTTATTTGTCTTTCTCTCAGCTGACGCGTGCAGCTGATGTTAGCATGTACCTGAGCTCTGTGAAGCTATGCAAACGTTTAGCTGTGTGAGGGCTGATATATGTAGAAACTGCAAGCAAACGTGCCTTAACCCTGCATGTTCAGTACAACCATTAATAGTGATGATGTTACAAATAAACATTGATATTAAAAATATCTCCTTTACCAAGTAAAGTAACATAGTTAGTAATACAGTTTAGTAATATAGAATTAATCTGCATCGCTTATTATAAAACAGAGTATATGCTACTGCTTAAAAGTTTGGGAGCAGTACGATTTTTTAATGTTTTTGTCCTTAAGGCTGCATTTATTTGATAAAAAAATAAAATAAAATCAAAAACATTACGAAATACTATTACAATTTAATAGAACAGTTTTGTATTTGAATATATTTTAAAATGTAATTTATTCCTGTGATCAAAGCTGAATTTTCAGCATCATTACTCTTGTCTTCAGTGTCACATGATCCTTCAGAAATCATTCTAATATGTTGATTTGCTGCTCAAGAAACATTAATATTATTATCAATGTTGAAAACAGTTGTGCTGCTTAATATTTTTGTGTAAAACGTGATAATTGTTTTCTTGGTTTTTAATGAAGTTCAAAAGAACAGCATTTATTTGAAATAGAACTCCTTTGTGACATTATATATGTCACTTTTGATCAATTTAATACACCTTTGCTGAATAAAAGTATTAATTTCTTTTTCTAATTACCCTTAATTATATTTTAAACTATTGAATATAGGTGTCTTTTCTAAATGCAATAAACCCTGAGAGACATTACAGTGATTTTATAATTTTTAGGGGGGTTTACAATTACCACAATTACCATCCTTTAACTATGGTAAAATCACTGTATGTGGTCTTTTTTTGTCGCTTATTGTTTTATTTCACAATAGCTTTGACTGTGGCTCATCCACAAGAATCTGTTTTATAATAAGTTTACCTTCATCAATGTAGTTGAAATTGTGAACAATGAAAAGAAAAATAACTAAATTGACTCGTGCATTACATGTATTAACATGCCGATGGTGGCGATTCAGATTATATCTCATCCAGTGCACAATGGAAGGAAGGAAAAAGAGAAATGAAGAATAAAGAGGTCAACAGGAAATGCATGCATCATCTCCAATGTCCCGATGACCGGATGCATTTCATTGTTGAGTAACTCTCAGGCCTGCCGTGTCTCATTTATGTAAGTCCAGGAACTCTAAATATCTAATTTCTCGTTGTCAGACCAGCTCTAATGGAATCTTAAACATTTTTGACAAGAAAGTCCCTTAATCGTGTTCTTGGAACAAGCACAGTTTGCAAAGACTGGATGAGAAATGCTAAAAATGCAACAACACACACGTACCTCCTCTCGACCTCAGGTGTGGACACGGCGCTAGACAGACCCAGTGACTCCTGGGAAGAAAAATTAAGACATTTTAGACTCTTAACAACAAATACAGACTGAGATAGTGTTTGAACAAAGAGTAAAGATGACACTATTAGTGTCACTTTCCCATAAAAGCACAACTTCCTGGACGGGTCATTCCCTCCGCTGACCGTGATTCATTACCCACCTGGATTTCCAACCGCAGCTGAAGGGATGTTGTTGATTCAGCCTTTCCCTGAGAAACAAAGTCATGCAGAAATTTAAACAAAGCCCTCAATGACAAACTGCTCATTCCTTATTCTCTGATAACCCTTATCTAGTTGAACCAAATGACACATCTAACCATCATTTTCATTGTGACGCAATATTTCACAGAGGAAAAAAATATCAGGATTTTCTGGCTTTTTGAAATGCTAGACTACTTGAAAAATTTCTGGTCAGGGTTTTTTTTTGTTTTTGTAAAATGGTAACACTTTTATTCAGCAATGATGCATTCAATTCATTAAAAGTGACAGTAAAGACATTTATAATTTCTGGTCAGGGTTTTTTTTTTGTTTTTGTAAAATGTAACACTTTTATTCAGCAATGATGCATTCAATTCATTAAAAGTGACAGTAAAGACATTTATAATGTCACAAAACATTTTTATTTCAAATAAAAGCTGTTATTTTGAACATTCTATTCATTAAAAAAGTCCAGAAAAAAATACTGCATCATGGTTTCCACAAAAATATGAATCGCACTGTTTTCAACATTGATAATAATAAGTGTTTCTTGAGCAGCAAATCAGCATATTAGAAGGATTCCTGAAGGATCATGGGACACTGAAGACGTAAGTAATGATGGTGAAAATTCAGCTTTGCATCAGAGGAATTACAAATATATTTAAATAAAAACACTTAATTGAAATTGTAATAATATTCCACAATATTACTGTTTTTCTGTATTTTGGTGAGCAGAAGAGACATCTTTCAAAAACATTGCAAAACCTTACCAACCTCAACAGTAGTGGACTTTATTGAAAAAAAAAAAAGCAAAATATGCTTTAAATAGAGTCTCATGTAAGCATTTTACCGTCTCTGCTTCTTGAGTGACTCTGCGTTTGCGTAACTCCTCCATTCTGTCACACACTTCGCTGTAGGACGTGCTGTAATACTCTGAATACTCTTGGGCCAGATCCTCAATGTTACCCAGAGAGCCATCCTACAACACACACAAACAATACAACCATTATCTGCAGTCTGAAAACAGCAGTGAGGAGAAAACCGCCTCTATAATCTTGCAGAATTGTGATGTATATCCAGTTCTCAGACTAAGCAACAGTCAAAAGAGCAGGTTTGGGCCTTTGAAAGCTGCTTCAGATAGACTCTGAGCCTTATCAGCCTCCATGGTGGTGGTTATGGTGTGTACTGGCCTAAAAGCCAATATTCCAGGTCAGAAGAAATCAACTTTCCCTCAGAATGTCTTCCTGGTATTGTATGACACACAGAGACGTGACCTCTCTCGTTTACTCACTGGAGACCCAGAGGGCAAAGCATCATCTCAAGATCTGCAAGCTCATCTCCTATATTTTTTCCTATATTTCCCTCAAATATTTTTAGCACACTGAAGTTTTAGTCAACTATGTCACCCATATAAGCATGGCACACTTTGCTGGCGATGAGAAAGGTTTGGGATGCAGGAAGAAACTATTTTAAAGCAGACAAATAAATAACTACATTATCCCCAGGCTTAATATTAAATAACAACAATAGCAAATGTGACATTAAACACAAAGTAAATCCACATGCTTTCACTAAATATTATTTAAAAACAACAAATATACTGAAGATGTAGGATGCATGCTAAAGAGAACTTAAATAGATATATAAATAGACACTAAACATCCACATATTAATACTAATAATAACAAAACAAAGCTAAACAAAACAAAGCTAAGCTAAGCTAAGCTAAGCTAAGCTAAACTAAACTAAACTAAACTAAACTAAACTAAAATAAAATAAAATAAAATAAAATAAAATAAAATAAAATAAAATAAAATAAAATAAAAAATAAAATAAAAAAATAAAAAAAAAAACTAAATAAAATAAAACATCACTTTCTGGAAGACACTAAAAATACAAATTCACACACTTACCAAGATATTCATCAGGTCTGCCCATACACGCGAAAAACTGTCTGGTGAGCTCAAATCCCCACAAATTTCTTGATCAGTCTTTGTTTCATTATCCATAGTCAAAGTTATAATATACTGCTCTAAATATAAAACTGAGATTTAAAGGCACAACCTCACAGACAGCGAGAAGGACAGCAAGAGCCAAATGCTCTTCATCCTGTCTTCAGATGATAAAAACATAATGCACCACTCATGGCTAAATTATTAAAGAGAAATGCACAAATCTGGAAAGTCTTCTGGCTTTAACACTCCTGATGTCCAACAATCAGATGACCAAATATAACTCGGAGCCAACTGGAATCAAACAGCTCGAGATCCACCACTGAAATATACAGCAGTCAATGAAACGCATTAAAAACAGAACAGAACAGAGCTGAGAAATGAGAATAACTTGTTGAGTCCTTTTAGAAAAGCTTTTAATATTCTCCTGCATGAGTGCAGAAGCCCCTGAAGGATCCCGGGATCCCAGTCAGTCTGAGTCTGAGCGCACCTGCGCGTTGATGGCTGAAGTTCACAGACACTGAGCAGCTTATTGAGGGTGATTAATATTCACAGACTGAGCTGGAGGAAGTGACACTTCCAAAGACTGACTTGGCTCAGATTTACACACATCAATGAGCCTCAGAGACGGCCATTCAACAGCTAGACAGCCTCGGAAGACATCAACAAGGAGATTCATTATAAAAACAAACACAACAACCAAAATAAGACAAGCATGAGATAAATGTGATAAATAGGTCTATAGATTATGTATAAAGTCATTAATTAGCACTGCTTGCAGCATCAGTATTATTATCGTTCATATTAATATATGCAGTTACTACTCTATATGACCAGACTTTTGATTTTCACTTGATTTTACCACTTTGCATCACTCAGAATACCCTAACAACACCCTAGTAACCACTTAGAGCACCCTAGCAACCACATAGCAATGCATTATTAAGGACTCTGAACACCTTAAGTAACTGCACAGCAATGTGCTAAAAACCACTTCGATCACCTTAGCAGGTAACCATCCACAACATCGGTTGGCAAACACCACTTGGATTTTTATTATCAGTTAGTGATATACTATTATAGATTTTACTAATATTTTGAATTAGTTTTTACTTCTATGTTTTCTGTCTTTTAATTTAATTTCACTTAATTAGTAATTTTGTTGTATGTTTTTGTCATTTTCACTATTTATTTTTTATTTTTTAATTTGTCTATATACTTATTAAGATTCATTTCATTTTTAGTTTTAGTTATTGTAGTACTTCAAGTTAAAATAAAATGAAAATTAGAAATGTTGCCTTGGCAACTAGCTGAAATAAAATACATTTTTAAATATTGTATTTTAATTGACGTTTATTTTATAAAATTGGATCCTCTGCAGTGAATGGGTGCCGTCATGTTTATAAGAAACAAATCCATCAATTAAGACATTTGAACTAATCCATAATAACGCTTCCTCCACCGAAAAGTCCATCTCCTGTTGTCATCAAAATCCACCTACATATATGTCTAGAGCTGTTTTGGCATGTGAACGGTGCTTGATCTGTGCAGATTTCTCTCCTGATTCAGACAAGATGACCTTTTCACTGGAGAAAGCAATATTATGGACAGAGGACTCATATTTGAAGTTAAAACCATCTTAATGATGGATTTGTCTCTTACAAACACACAGCTTTTCGCTTCACAAGACATTAACTGATGGACTGGAGTGGTGTGGATTACTTGTGGATTGTTGTGATGTTTTTATCAGCTGTTTGGACTCTCATTCTGACGGCACCCATTCACTGCAGAGTAAATTTTCAAAAAAATCTTCATGTTCAGGATAAATATTCATTTAAACAATGTACAATTGTAGTGGAAAGGAAAATGTGCATTTACTGGATGGTAAGAACTTGCTATTCATAAACAAGCCCCCTAAGAAACATGTCTAATAAAGTCATGTGAGCCTTGAACTAGCCACATTTCACAATGCTTCCTTAATACTAATTAGTCAGCTAGTCAGGCAACCCAACTAGTCAGTTTTGAAAATATGACGCACATATCTAGTGTGTTCAGCACTGTTCAGATGGTTTAACACACTCATTCTGCTCAGTTGTAGTCACACTGGGGTTTGTTTCTGTATTCTCACAGACACGATCTAAAAGTAGAGTGACCACTGTGAAACTCTGACCCACTGTTTGTATTTCTTTTCCCACAGTCCTCAGGAAATGTATGGAAAAACATGGGAGATCTCTTTTCAAATAATCAAGCATGTCTTGGGTTAAAAAGCTAAACTGCAATTTGCTAAAAATGGCTCAAATGCAGTGTCGTCTTCAAGAAAATGCTGTAATTTCATATCGACGAATGCAGAGAAGATCTGAGGCACAAAATAGATTGTTATACTCGTGAGATGATATGAGACGCTTCCTTCATCTAGCTGAAAACATGCGCATTCCTCCAGTGCGAGAGGCACAGGGGTCTCGTGGTCACGCTCTCTGTGACTAGCTCAACTGTCCTCGAAGAGAGAACCATTCATTTCATTCATTTAATGCCCTCCAGCCAAAGCTGCGCGAAATCTGGCCACTTTTCATCAGTTAAGAAAGCCAGCAAAGCCAGCGAAAAGTCATTAATTAGCACTGCTTGCAGCATCAGTATTATTATCGTTCATATTAATATATGCAGTTACTACTCTATATGACCAGACTTTTGATTTTCACTTGATTTTACCACTTTGCATCACTCAGAATACCCTAACAACACCCTAGTAACCACTTAGAGCACCCTAGCAACCACATAGCAATGCATTATTAAGGACTCTGAACACCTTAAGTAACTGCACAGCAATGTGCTAAAAACCACTTCGATCACCTTAGCAGGTAACCATCCACAACATCGGTTGGCAAACACCACTTGGATTTTTATTATCAGTTAGTGATATACTATTATAGATTTTACTAATATTTTGAATTAGTTTTTACTTCTATGTTTTCTGTCTTTTAATTTAATTTCACTTAATTAGTAATTTTGTTGTATGTTTTTGTCATTTTCACTATTTATTTTTTATTTTTTAATTTGTCTATATACTTATTAAGATTCATTTCATTTTTAGTTTTAGTTATTGTAGTACTTCAAGTTAAAATAAAATGAAAATTAGAAATGTTGCCTTGGCAACTAGCTGAAATAAAATACATTTTTAAATATTGTATTTTAATTGACGTTTATTTTATAAAATTGGATCCTCTGCAGTGAATGGGTGCCGTCATGTTTATAAGAAACAAATCCATCAATTAAGACATTTGAACTAATCCATAATAACGCTTCCTCCACCGAAAAGTCCATCTCCTGTTGTCATCAAAATCCACCTACATATATGTCTAGAGCTGTTTTGGCATGTGAACGGTGCTTGATCTGTGCAGATTTCTCTCCTGATTCAGACAAGATGACCTTTTCACTGGAGAAAGCAATATTATGGACAGAGGACTCATATTTGAAGTTAAAACCATCTTAATGATGGATTTGTCTCTTACAAACACACAGCTTTTCGCTTCACAAGACATTAACTGATGGACTGGAGTGGTGTGGATTACTTGTGGATTGTTGTGATGTTTTTATCAGCTGTTTGGACTCTCATTCTGACGGCACCCATTCACTGCAGAGTAAATTTTCAAAAAAATCTTCATGTTCAGGATAAATATTCATTTAAACAATGTACAATTGTAGTGGAAAGGAAAATGTGCATTTACTGGATGGTAAGAACTTGCTATTCATAAACAAGCCCCCTAAGAAACATGTCTAATAAAGTCATGTGAGCCTTGAACTAGCCACATTTCACAATGCTTCCTTAATACTAATTAGTCAGCTAGTCAGGCAACCCAACTAGTCAGTTTTGAAAATATGACGCACATATCTAGTGTGTTCAGCACTGTTCAGATGGTTTAACACACTCATTCTGCTCAGTTGTAGTCATACTGGGGTTTGTTTCTGTATTCTCACAGACACGATCTAAAAGTAGAGTGACCACTGTGAAACTCTGACCCACTGTTTGTAT